TTCTTTATTATTTGTTTTAAAAAACAAAACAATTTAATGCTAAAATTTTAATTGAAAAAGTTTTTTTTTTCTAAACTATAAAAAAAAATTATTTTACTTGCTTTAAATTTTTTTTTTTAATAAGAAGTATTGGTTTTAGGTTTATTTTCTCCTTTGTTTCGGATTTTTATAAAATTTTTACACAACTTCTATAAAACTCTGCGACTTGTTCCACCTGTCTGGTCTGATACGTCTACACCTAATCCGCGTACCGAGTGAGTTAGCAATGTGGTCCGCACACAAGTTGTGTTTATTTCCGAGGCCCCTCGTACCCCGCTAAACAAACACCAGTTGCTATTTTTAACTTTCACGCGCATGAATACCCCACTTTCTTCAAACGACCACCAGTTCTCGATAAGCGTGACGAAAGACGCGTAAGATTGCGTAGAAGATAAATTTTATCTTACGGTTTTAAGTTTTCCTTTTTTTTTGGATTTTAATTTTGTTTTAAATGTATAAAATATAAAGCTGGCGTGTTACTATATCATCCGTTAACTAGACTTGTGATGTCTAACTTAGGCTATTTTCCGAATATATGGGATTTTTATTAATTTATTGAGATCTATGTATTTTTTTTTTTTGGAGTACACTTCGTCGTATTTTGTGATGTTCTGGTATTTAGACTTAGCGTCTGCGGTCTTTTTTTTTTTTTTTTTTTTTTTTTTTTCAACAATTTGATTGTATGTTTTAGGCTATAAACCGGTATCAGCCAAACTAGAACCTTCTCTTTTCAACATGTGAAGCGAAGCATTCAAAGCTTCATCGTGTTCTTTTTGCGGATTCAGAAGTTTTATTATAATTTTTCGAGGCCAAAGTTCGTGGCCTCTTTTAGCGGTAGTTAGATAGGTAGGATAAGAAATGTGATACTCGCCGCTGCACGACCTAATGACCTATTGCAGACCTCATGTGTCTTATTACATGTTATGAATTTTTTTTTTCTTTAGTGTTTTAAATTTTTAAAGAAGTGAAAAAAAAGTGACTAAAAAAAACTACTTTTCTTGGACAAGATTTGGAATAGAGCAACGCGTGTGAACTCAATTTTGGACGCGATTTTTCCAAGGATTTCTTTACTCATATTGAACTCACATCAAGATTTGATTGCAAAAATATTTAAAAAAAACAACCAACAAAACAACTTAGACGTTCAGTGCAGTGATTGTTGTAGTTTTCTTACCCTCTCCTCCCGTGGTGTGTAATGGTTGTGGTCCCAGTGGTGTGCGCCCTCAGCTGAGCGGTGGTGCAATGTTTGACACCGTGGGGACGCTGACGCATGTTTCAATGTAATGTGTTGTGAGTGGCCGCCCTCCAAGTGTACTCACAACCGTAGGTCTCACCCCGCACCCCGTCAACCCACACTGCTGCTGGGCCTGATGTTACTGTCTCTCTCGAGGATAGGTAGGTCAACTCTACTTTACCATTCATCGTTCATATATATATATATATATATATATATATATATATATATATATATATATATATATATATATATATATATATATATATATATATATATATATATATATATATATATAAGCTAGATACTTGTTTTTGTTAAATGTTGTGCAACTCTAAAGGTGTTTATAAAATATAGCCTCACCCTCCACCACAGAACAGCTGATCCACTGTAAGATAGCCAGGTCGTTTTAAGTGGCTTCAGCTAGGGCGCCCTCACCCCTTCATATTAGGAGTCTTATGATCTTTTATATCTATGAAATTTTTATAAGTTTAAGTCTCAAAGAAGAATTTTCAAACATGGGGCCCGCCCTGGGTTGTTTTTTTTTTAGCATTAGGCGGCGGTGTAAGAAACTAATAAATTCCTATAAAATCCTTAACGATATGAATACACTGAAACCAGTGGTAATTTTTTTCTTGTACATTTTAATAGACGCCCACACACATTGCATGTCTTTAATTGGCCACACCTGCATTAGCTTATGACGTGGATTAACTGGTCTTACCAGATTATAATTAGAACTTGACGAACATAACTTAGGCTGGGGTTTGTGTAAGAGTTATGAAAGCTAAGATTCAATTGTGTTAAGCATTACATGACGTGTCCAGTAGTTATCGTCTGTGTTGTTTGGTTCGTAGGCAACTAATGTTTAAGTAGATCGCTAGATATGTCGATTTTTAGGCTGTGCAATTCTGTTGACTAGTTGACGTTAGGTCCCATACTTTCAAAGGCAGGTCTTGGGTAGGTCCCATATCGCCATAGCAGGTCCCTGTTAGACCCCATACTTCCAAAGGCAGGTCTACGTTAGGTCCCATACTTTCATAGGCAGGTCTACGTTAGGTCCCATACCTCCATAGATAGGTCCATGTTAGGTCCCATACTTTCATAGATAGGTCCAGGTTAGATACCACTACCCCCCCCCCTCAGACACGTGACCGCGAAAGGTCACGACAAGGACCTCCAGACACAACAGATTAGCAGGTCGTCGGCTGACGCTGGCCGATCTGTCAGCAGACGACTCAATTAATATTCCAGCCTCGCCACTCACGTCTGCTGCTTTGTCGTCTGGCAATCTGTGTACACGTACACTGTCATTATACTGTGTACACGTACACTGTCATTCTGATGTGTACACGTACACTGTCATTCTAATATGTACACGTGCACCTATCATTCTAATATGTACACGTACACTTGTCATTACGCTGTGTACACGTGCACCTATCATTCCGTTAAAAAACAAGGCGTCAATACGTGCCTAAAACAGACATCTAGATCCCCAACACCCCCGCAGGTAACACCCCCCCCCCCCCCCGCACATCACCACCCCCACATGCCCCTACCCATCATTACCAGCGTCCTCATTCTCCACACACATCCTTGTTTATTGATTTAACTGAAATGCTGCTTGTACAGTTGCTACTATAAACAATGTAAATAGTGTATAAGCATTAATGTGTGCTTCATAAACAAAAAAATTCACATATGAAATGTTTTATGTAAAAAAAATACTCTTGGGATTTTGTGTAAGGAAAGCATTTTCTGGTTAATTATGAATTGGTTTCAATCTTGGATTAGCTTTACTCACGTGTATGATTGTGTGTAGGATTGTTAGTAACGATACTCCAACCCCAATAATCATACAAAGACAAATCCCAAACCTTAAACAAACAATAATCCTTATCCACCCCCCCCCCCCCCGCTTGTATAAACTCTGATAACAGAATCAAGTGCCATCCAAGAAAATCCCAGAAAAAGGCGGCGCTAGGAGGTGTGTTTAGGAAGTAGGGGGGGGGGGGGCTTGTCCATTCAATACTTCAATAACATTGCGGGTGGGTTTATTTTTGGTATAGAAAACGCCCTGGAATTCCCGTTTTTACTTCACTTTGTTCAGCCAACTCTGATGGTAATATCATAAACACCATTGAACGAACAAACTACTGTTCATTCATCCGATTTGTTAAGCAGAATTAGCCACTGACCATTAGACGCCAGCCAGAGAGTTTAACACCCTCTAATGAGCTCCCTGTTCCTCCTAGCAAACAAAAAGCTAAGTTGTATCTTAGTGGGTGCGGGGGGATTCAGTCAAGTGTAGCGTCGTCACGCGCTGTTTGTCGCCTCTTTAGAGATACGATATTTTCTCACTCTTATACACAAGTTTGTTATGATGATAAACTAGGTCATAGGTATGCACGAACTTATGAACTTTATAAATGGATATCACCTTTAATTTATATCCAGAATTAAGGTTTATGTTGGCAACAAACAGGCCATCAGTATATAGATCTCTCTCTCTCTCTCTTTATCCCCATCTCCGCATTTCACTCTTGGGCGAGCCACTTTAATTCATGCCATATAGATCTACCCTCGATGTATAGATAACTTAAAGCTGAAGATTTGAAGCTCCAATACACTTTTAGTTGGAGATGTAAAGCAAGTCATTGAATGAGGACCGCATGAACTCTGTCAACCCTACAGATTAGATAGAATCTGATGTATTCCATGGTGAATTGATAGGTCTCGCTGAAAAACGGGAAAAAGGTCGAGTCTTTAGAGTATATTTTGCGGCTGAATGTTTCGCTTAGTCAATGGTTTCAACAGTTGAGCAAGTGTTCCGAAACTCGACAATGCTTCTTTCAACATATGCAAATGGGCATCAGGTTTTCAAATGGTAGAGATATATTTAAAAAAAAATATTACTGGTACACATAAACCCGACACATATATTCACATTCTCCCCCCCCCCCTCCACCACACACATTCTCCCCCCCCCCTCCACCACACACACACACATTAATTCTCTCGCATTCGTTCCATTATATTTTAACTCATACGCCCTAGCCCCTCTTCCCCACCCCAAAAAAAATCACCTTCAACTCCCACAAATTAATTCTGACATCCTACCACCTCTTCCACACACACCCACACCCACACACCCCACATAAACCCCCACTCACGGTTGAAGACCCTCACACACATTGTCATACTTCCTACCACCTCTTTCCCACCCCACCCCACACAAACCCCCACACACGGTTGAAGACCCTCACACACATTATCATACTTCCTACCACCTTTTCCCCACCACACCCCACATAAACCCCAAACAAACCCCCACACACGGTTGAAGACCCTCACACACATTGTCATACTTCCTACCACCTCTTTCCCACCCCACCCCAAACAAACCCCCACACACGGTTGAAGACCCTCCCACACATTATCATACTTCCTACCACCTCTTTCCCACCCCACCCCACACAAACCCCCACACACGGTTGAAGACCCTCACACACATTATCATACTTCCTACCACCTCTTTCCCACCCCACCCCACACAAACCCCCACACACGTTTGAAGACCCTCACAGCCATTATCATACTTCCTACCACCTCTTTCCCACCACACCCCACATAAACCCCACACACCCCACACAACCCCCCACTCATGATTGAAGACCCTCCCACACATTATAATACTTCCATTTTGTGTTTTTCTCCTCCCCAGGGCTAGCCGTGGAGCCCGTGGGTCACGACGTCCTTGACCTACTCCATGGCCTTAACACGACGTCCGCCGACTCCCTGTCTGGCCTTCGCTTCACCACCGGACCAAACAACAGCACCCCAGCCCTGTTACTCGAAGGTAAGCCTCTTACTTGACCACTCGTACTCGAAGGTAGCCTCTTACTTGACACCTCGTACTCGAAGGTAAGCCTCTTACTTGACCACTCGTACTCGAAGGTAAGCCTCTTACTTGACCACTCGTACTCGAAGGTAAGCCTCTTACTTGACCACTCGTACTCGAAGGCAAGTCTGTATCATTGATCAGTTCCACCCCAAAGTAGTAGTCTCACCAATATTCACCAAAAGTAATACTGGGTCCAATGCTACTCTAAAGTAGTAGGTCTAGTCTGATCAATATTCCCCAATTGCACCAACTTTACATAGAAGCGAGTCTTACCAGATGACCCACAAACGGACACCTCTGTTTAGGTTGGCTCTTCACACCTTTGATGTCTTTTCTAAACATGACAAATGGATAGACAGACAGAGCTTAGATAGACATTACCAGATACAGGTACAGTTTAGATAGACATTACCAGATACATATATAGCTTAGATAGACATTACGACATACACAAAAAGAGCTTAGATAGACATTACCAGACACATAAAAAGAGTTAAGACAGACATTACCATCAAAGCCATCAGGGTGTGACAAAGGCTCCAACAGTTTACATGCATTGATTCCATGTCTACATCCGGTTCGTGAAAAATTGTGTGGCGTCACCAGACAACCTGCTGGGTGTGCATATTTATATTTTTTTTGTATGCCCCTTCCTCCCGATCGCCCCCCCCCCCAACAAACTTTGTGTAAACATTATTGCGTCGGTTGTGTTTTTTTTTTCAAGTCCACGTGTTACGCATGTGATCTATTCACGTGTATTAAATCATGCTGGTCTATCTATTGCCGAGACGGTTGTAAAATTGTATGGTAAAGCAATTGAACATGCTGAGTGTGTAAATCCCCCCCCCCCCCCCCGCCGCCACCCCACACAAAACCCCATAATTCCCACCTCGATTCACCCTCCACCGTCACGGTCTAACTATTTCGTGTGAAATATTAATCAGCAGGTTTGATTTTTTTCAAAATGCAAATGTGACCCAATTGATTAAAAAAGACAGCTTATGTAAATCTAAACAAAAAGTAAACAATGGAATGCATTCAACTGATGCCTTGTAGTTTGTTCGTGGTTGGACAAAGGCTATGGAAGCAAATCTAAAAAGAAAAGCGGGCTGAACTCGGAGTCAATGGTCTCAACGGCGCATAACCAGTTGACACGTATACTTAAATGTGTTGGAGGGAATCCCTTCCAACACTAAAATTAAGAACGAAGAAGAAGAAGAGAAAGAAGGGATTGCCTCCACTTCAATGAAGTATTACATGTCAGCATGTTATGTGCTGTATGACTAGTTGACTGCCACCGGCTTATCTTTCTTGATAAGCCTTCCATAGCCTTTCTCCCTCCAAGATCAATCTGCAAGGCAGTAGTTGCTTGATTTTTGGCGCTCTCTCTCTCTTCTCCCATAAGCTAACGCGCCTTCTCTGTCCGGGGATCGAACTTGGGACATTTGAAGCTAGCAATCACACCCTCGCCACACTACCCCCCCCCCTCCCAGATTGTATGTGATAAAACCACAACTTATCTTGTTTAATACCCCTTGTAACGCCCTTCTTAACACCCTTGCTTGACGCGGTAGTTGTAAATATAACGCCCTTTGTGTGGTTTAAAAAAAATAATTCTACCAAATATGTATACACACTTGGTGGTGTTTTTTTTTATCTTAGAAAATTTGCGTATAACCACCTAGGTGGGTTTTTTTTATCTTGACCTTGGTGGTTTTTAAAAAAGTATTCCAACAAATGTCTAGAACACACCCAATAACCCGTGTCTGGTGACCTTAAGCGTCACAGGGTCACTAAAGGGACATCAATCTTCACTTGAAATTAATTTTTAAACGCCCTCACCTGCCATTTGATCGTAAGCTCATTTTGAGTTGTGTCAACTACATCAGCAGGTAATGTACAAGTATCGAATGTTCCCGCCTATTATTAACTTTTATCACTGTCATCTCTGTGTCTGAACGTCCAAACGTAACACTTGTGTTTGCTGGTTACAGCTTACCAAATTTCACAGTAACCCGATGCCTTAATAAAGAATACAGAAATTACTTCGCTCTGTTAAATATACATGCACGGCTGCGCAGCTTCTTTTTTTTTTTAAATTATCTCAAGTAGTTTGGAGAATTGTTTAATGAATTTTTTTTAAATGTCCATCTCCTATAATGTCCATCTTCTCACATGTTTTTGTCCTCAAATATCCACCTCTCAATGTCCACCTCCTAAAATATCCACCTCCTCAAATATCCACTTCTTCAAATATCCACCTCCCCAAATATCCACCTCCTCAAATATCCACCTCCTCAAATATACACCTCATCAAATATCCACCTCATCAAATATCCACCTCATCAAATATCCACCTCATCAAATATCCACCTCCCCAAATATCCACCTCCTCAATATCCATCTCCTCAAATATCCACCTCCTCAATATCCACCTCCTCAATATCCACCACTAGACGCCAGCAAAAATCACCAATGACACAAAAAACACGACAACATCTCCACCACTTGTACCTCAACCACCGCCCCATATAAAGACATCACACAGTGATACAAAATATTCTATCGTTCTGTCCCCACACGTTTTACACATCACATCATACATGGCCCACAAGATTCGATGTTGTAAATATTTTCAAGGTGTCTAAGTGTAACTTTGACCTGTAAACACTGTCTTTCAACACGACACGCTCCGCTGGTGCGTAACAATTTCAACGTTCTTTCAAGTCTTTATATTATGTCAGCGAACATTATTTTTTTCATTCGTTAGGGAAGCTATAAAAACATGTTTAAAATCGTTCTTTGTGTTAATATATGTGTGTTTGTATGTATGCGTGGTGTCTGATAGAAATGCACGCAATGTTATAAATAGAGAGGTATAATTATAAAAGAAAAAAAACAAGAATCGCAAAATCACCAAAACAAATGGCAGTTTTTAAAGACTAGGTTTCATTGTTAGCTAAAAACGTTAATTACATTTACATAAAACAACACTGAACTAAGGTAGTTTTGTTATTATTTTCTTAATTAGTGTTCCTATAATAGAGAAGACCCTCTTGCATATGTCATATCTATCTTGCATATATGTTATATCTGTCTTGCATATATGTAATATCTGTCTTGCATATATGTTATATATGTAACTCTGTGTAAGGGTCGCGTGAAGTGATGGGCGGATGAGTGAGCGGGGGTGGGGGGGGGGGTGACACCATCATGTGCCGCACCGGGTGACACCCGACCTTGCTACGCCACTGACACACACACACACGCGCGCACACACACACATACACACACGTACTCACACAAACACACCTCCACAACGAATTTGTCCCCTGCAAGCCAGCATCATCAAGTTTCATCATCTGCATGCTGTGCACCGGGTCCTGCAAATAACAATCTGATTTATGGCTTGCACGAGCCGCTGACCCCTGACCCCTGCGATACTGCGATAACCATTCCTCGCGTGACTGCGTGAGTACGCTGGGAGGATGAGAGAATCGAATGAATTATTCTATCAGAGGGCCTGGATATCCACTCAGGGGGAATTTCAATTGGGTTAAAGAAATGTGCACATTTCAAACTAGAAAATACCCAGCTGTTGTTCCTCTTTGAAAAAAAAAACAGGAATGTTTCTGAATTTGCCGTATTACTATAAAAAAACAAAAACGCAATCCCCTCCCCTTCCATATTCTCCTAAACATATACCAACACATAGAGAGGATTGAAAAGTTTATTTCTACCCAAAGACGTTCGCATTAAGGCTGCATACTGCACTATGGAAAACAAATCTCCTAACCTCCATCCGCAGCAATGCACTCACTTTTAAGCTAATTTAATATCGTTCTTGCACCAACAGCAATATCAAACACGGATATGTCACCAGCACTTAAGAAAAAAAAATAGTTCTATAAAAAAAAGACTCCCTACTTCTCTTTTTAATATGTTTGTATTGATTGAAGCCGACAAATTAATTCTAATTACATAGATAATTGACTTCAAACAAATTTGTAGTTGGTGAACAAAACAAGGTAATATTAACTCACTAAACACCAAAACGTTAGAAAGAAACTAGAATAAAAAACAAGTAATTGGGTTTGGATCGAATTTTGTCTAGCTGTAATTGGTTCGTTTCTTTTTTTTTTTTGCCTCGCTAGGCGGATCTATAAATACATCTTTTTAAATGCCTCCTCGTGACTAATTCCAGCGTAAAAAAAAGGAAAAAAAAACCGTAAGAAATTTATTTCTTGCTTTTACTTGAAGCAAATATCGATATACTTTAGATACACAATTTTACCGTGGCAAATGTTTTAGATCAATTCTGTGTGGTGGTAGATTACATATTTACAAACTTGTGTAAAACACATTTTCTCCTTCGCTTATGTAGTGGTAAATCTTGCTAGTACACACAAGGACAAACCACATTTTCACCTCGCCTGTGTTGTATTAGGTTATTAGACCTACACACGGGGTCAAACCACATTTTCACCTCTCCTGTGTTGTATTAGGTTATTAGACCAACACACGGGGTCAAAGCAAATCTCCTTTAGCTTGCCGTCACTAAATAGCAATTTTTTTCTTATTTAAGTTCATCGTGTGATAGGACGGGATTCATATCAACATCACTGCAGGTAACTTTATATGCTTCAAGCATCGGATTGCCAAACATTTAGTGCAAGAAAGTCTTACCCGCTTCGGTGCCTCGGTGCACTTAGTGCATATATTATATATATATATATATATATATATATATATATATATATATATATACATATATATATATATATATATATATATATATATATATATATATATATATATTACGTTATAATATATATTACGTTATATATATGTATATATAATAAGTTTTATATATATATATATGTATATATATGTATATATATATATATATATATATATATATATATATATATATATATATATATATATATATATAT